AAATAAATAAATAAAATATTAAAAAAAAAAAAGGAACAGTCAACATCATCCCCATCAGAAAGCCCACGCACGCAGAGTGCCTGCCTCAGCCGTTCTCAGGATCAAGGGCCTTTGCGTGGATTGGAGCTTAATGAGGTACAGCAGATGGGCTCACTCACTCTCCAAGTTCACACCCAGAAAACGAACTTCAGATTCTTGATGATCACATCGCACGGTCAAGTCAAGTCAATAGAATGCCTGATTCACGCTCCTCACTTTTGGTAGATAAGTGGACACTGCAGTAGCGGAGACTTCTCAAAAGCCATTTAGCTCCATGATAACTTTAGTTATACTCCTCATAAAACTATCACAGAGCCTTCTAAATTCATTTTTCAGTTATTGAGAGATGCAATTAATAAAGCTATGGAGATATACCTCCCTGACAATCTACGAGGAAATACAGCTTTTGGTGGGATTTAACTAGGTTAACTATCAGAACAGTCAGAGATAACGTAAGACTTTGTGTAACAGACATGCTGGAGTTTAGCAACACATTCTGGATCTCATTGCATTTTAATTTTTCTTTTTCTTCATATTCTGTAGGGTCTGAAAGTTTAACATATTAACACTGGATGGAAAATACCTCTTCCATGTTACATCTAACATGTTTGCTATTCAGACAGATAGTCAGGTTAAGCTCAACTGCCTGTTATAGGGTAATAATAAGCTTCTCTACTGGAGGGTTAACAACCTGTTTGCAAACCAAAAATTAGAGAAAAGGAAGGGCTGCAAGGACAGCCAACATTTTGGCCCTAGCCTTTCAAGGTCAGTGAGGACTCAGGACATAGGAGAACCTGTACTGTAAATCCTGTAACTCAGTGGTATCCCAAATTTCTGATCAAGATTATGGGGCCACAGAGGAAGGGGATCAATGATGTAGAGTGTGCCTAAGGAGTCACATGGAATTTCAATGACAGGAGAGATTTGTACTAATAGTATTTGAACAGGATATCATGTCTACATCTTATACTATGAATAACCACTAAGAAGAAAACAATATGCAATGTATTAATTATTGAAACTGTCCGACCAATTGGTTTTGAAACTGTCTCATTGCTATCTGTTTCTCAATAAAATTGATTAAAAAAATAATAATTTCAGGGGGAAAAAAAGGAGTCACAAGGAGAGAAAACATTCTGTCAGGCTTTCACAGAAATCAAATTGGTCAAGCAATGGCCATGACCCATCCACATGGCTGACACTCACAAAGGATCTACAAACTGTGGTACAGTTTCAGGGTAAATCCTGAGGGTATTTGACTGACCTTGTCAGATACAAAAGTTACATTTCTTGCTATATAGGTCTTGCTCTATCTTGGTCTTAACCATCCAGCAGAAAAGTATAAAAATGAGGTATAAAAAGTGAAGCCATATTAATATGCTGAGCTGTAAAAGGCTCAAGTCAACAACTTCTGACATTACCAGTCTTAAGGAAAATTCACTACTATTATGGACTGTATTGGAATATTTTGATGAATTCAAACACCTACAATATTTAAATGGCAATGGAATACTCATCTCTAACAAAACTAAAAAAAATGGAATACAAATGAAGGGCCATTTTGTATCTCTACATACAAAATAGTTAGGATAGATATACAGCTACTTGCTCTTAATTCAATGAGAAGATTTGTACTAATAGTGTTTGGACAGAATATCATGTCTGCATCTTTTTTTTTTTAACTAATGTAATTTTATTAACTATACACATAAAACTGCTGTCACATCTAAAAATAATCCACAAGTTATTGTAATTTCAAATTATACATACGAATTAGATTTATGAAATATACAAGACATTTTATATTCATTCATCAGAAGCCTTAATGAGCACAGCATTCTTCTTATATTTTTCTGCAATCTCTCTAATGTTTTCCAAAAGATCTTCAGACATGCATTCTTCATACTCTCTATCAACTTTAGGAATCTGCTC